AAAAAAAAAAAAAAAGACATGAATTTTAGTTCTACTTTCGCCAGCTACTTAATATGGAATTTTTATTCCCAATTATCTACCCTTACCCCATCTACCTCACAGGATTTTAAGAGTCTAGTGAAATAATATATAAAAAGCTCTTTGCAACTTAAATCATTACAAAATATAAAGTATTTTATCAGTGTATTTTGGAGTTAAGGGAGTTTTTTCGACTCTCAATTACTGATAGCTTATCTAAATGTTAAATTTCAATCAGAACTGCAGTTTCTAGACTGGTGTGTCCAATCAACCTTCATATGTTCTATACCTGCAATGTCCAATACAGTAGCTACTAGTTACTGAGTATTTGAAATGTGGCCAGTGCAACTGAAAAACTGACTCTTTAATTTTAACTGTAATCATCTTAAACTTAAATAACCACATGTAGTTAGTGGTGACTGGACTGGGAAGCACAAATCTCAGATATAAGAGTTGGAAAATCTAGTTGTAGCTCCAAAGATGTGATAGGAAGCACAAGGCCATCAAGAGAAACTGTGCCAGTGAAGAGGAAAGCAGGATTATGAGGGAATAAAACAAACATGTTTCCCTTTAAAACAACTGGATAATACCCAAATCCAAACGATAAATTTGAGTAAAATAATTCCGATTTACAAAAGCATTTATGTTCTTTAAATACTAGTTACACAAGTATGTTAACTGCCTGTCCCAATTTTTCAAGAAAGCATCTAGTAGAAAACAAGGCTTCCATTTAGAGGGATGTCAAAAGCAGGAAAATGTAGAGAAAAGAGAAAACAAACAGGGACAAATCCGGCTTACCTTCTCCTGAGTTAATACAACAAATTTATTGAGCAACCACTAAATAATAAGATTAAGGGGAAAAAAATAGGACTAAGTCCTACACAAAGAATACAAATCTCCCTCCAGTTCTTGCTTCCTACTACATGCAAGCAGTGGATCAGAGCGCAGTTCAGATAATAATCCTGTGAGGCCTTTACTATTGTTCCCCGCACTTACAAATGGGGAAACTGAGGTTTATAGAGATTGAAGAAGTTAGTAAATGCCAAAGTCCAGTTTAAAACCCAGCTTTGCCTCTCCAATACAGGGGCTTTACCCTATATAAACTGGAAGAGAGCATACAGGGAAGCATGGGGCACAGAGTGGGTGTATTCTAAATGGACATTTCGCTGACAAAGAACTGAAGACAGAATTACCTAACAACACAGCAGGAGAAAGGCCTGGTTTGAAAATAAATAAATAAGCAAGTAAGCAAGTAAGTAAATAAATAAATAAATAAACAAAACAACTTGCTGGCCGGGATCACAATGGAGTGCATCTTATGAAGGTCACCGCAGGTTCCAGGAAAAGGGTAGATCCGAGCCAAACCACATGGACAAACAGCGGCAGCAAAGTGCCCCGCTTTCCTCAGGGCACAAGAGGCCCTCAGAAAGGGAGATCGGGGTTCCCGGGTCCCCGTTTCCCACCAGGCGTCGGTGCTTCGGTAAAGTAGCTTTGCGGCTCGACATTAGGGAGACCAGAGCCAGCACCGAGCGTCGGGAAAGGGCCGCGAGGATCGCCGCCGAAGAGGGTCGAGAGGCGGGCGGTCTGGGTGTGTGCGGGAAACGCGAGAGTCCGAGAAAAGCCCGCAGGGCGAGAAACTGGGCCCTGGGATCAGGCAACCCCCGGGCAGGGCACGTACTCCTGGATGAGGGACCCCCTACCCGCACGCGCGCCGGCCCGCGCCTCACCTGCTTCGCGCCCGCGCCGACAAGCTCAGTGTCCGGCCCGGCTCGGCGCTCCCGCCTCTCGGGTAACAACCGGATGCGACGCAGGCCGCACGGCTGCGGCCGCGAGAGGCTACCCGAGCGCGGGCGGGCAGCGGCGCGGGCGCCCGACGCCCGCGGGTCACTGCGAGGGTCCTGCCGGGCTGAGAGCCCAGGAGTTCCGCTCCGTGCGCGCACTGACGGCTCCACGCGCCCTCCCCGTGACCTATAAATCCTTTAGCACCCCAAGCGCAGCCCCTCCCCCTGCAGGTTCCCACGCCTCCCGGAAGGATTTTTTAGGGGGCGGAGCTAAACGCTTTGCTTTTCTGCGTTCTGACCGGGTTTTGTTTTAACTGTGATACTTTGTTAATCCACTAGGGTTGCCATGCAGGAACAATGAAATGTGAAAGATAACTGAACGTCGGACAGAAAGTCGCAGTAAAACAACCGCCAGTTAACTAAGCCACTTTCTTCCGTGCCGCCCTGCCCTCTACCTCCCTGTTAAAAACAAAAAACAAAAAACAACAACAAAAAAACGCGGTTGATTTCTGTCACCTTGGAGTTCAAACTAGAGTGAAAGGGAATTCTGGGCGTTATCAAACAAGGACAGTAGGAGAAAACTTCAGCAATTTCAGAATGCCAATAGGCATGATACGCAGAGAGATAATTATGACTATAAAGTTATAAATGACCAAAATGAATAAACGTGGAATACTGGAGAAGGCAGGCAATAATCCTAGTTCCATATGGAAAATAAATGAGTACTTGAAACCCATGAGACATAAAAGGAAAATTTTGATGAACTGAGAGTTTTAAAATACTTTTACAAAAACCAGAAGGCTGAATTATTTTAAAATACTTTATTGTGGTGAAAACAGCACAGGCTTTGAGGTCAGAAATTAATGTTCAAATCCAAGGTCTACTACCACTTCTAAGCTCCAAGACCTTGGATAAATTATTCTCATTAGAGGATCAGAGTTTTCATAACAGTTTCAGGGATAAGATGTTCCATCCCTCAGGGCCATTCTGAGGGTTAGACAAACTAACACACAACGCACAACGGGCATAGTGCGTCACAAACAATGATGGATAACTTCCTGGGTCTGCCTTCCTAAGGTTACTCTTAAAGAGTCTAAAGGCCAAAGTCAAATAGATACTGCAAATATGCTAAACACAAGAAAAGATACTTTAATGACTATTTAGAACAATAAAGAATAGATCTGAGAAAAGTCTCTCCAGACACTGTATGGTGGGCATTGAATGATGGCAGACAGACAGCAGTCATTCAGCTCCTGCATTTCCTCAATCTGACAATAAACAGAAAGACCATCAAGTTGGAAAGGACACAACAAACCCTGGCAAGTAATTCAGAAGAGAAGGTTGTAAAAGAACAGTTAATTTTTTATAGGCTCAATCTCCAAAGTCAGGTGAATTAATTGTAAGAAGAAAACTAGAAAAAAAAATTGCAGATATTCCCTCTCCTCTCAGTCCACCTATAGCAATCCAGCTTCAAATCGGTTGTGGCACTTATAGCTGAACATGTTAACTTATAGCTTTTTGCTCTGTAGTTGTTTGTACACATAATTTATCTTAGTAGCCCCCACACTACCGGGCACAGGCCCTTGAGCATATCGAATCTTCAATAAGTATTTGTGAGTAAATAAATCTCATGTAACTTCCGTTAGTAATCATCAGAATTCATGAAACATGAACATGGAAATTAAAGACAGGGAAAATGGTATTCAGATTTTCAAAGTCAGATAAAGGTTAATTCCAAAGATTACGGGCATCAATATTCAGCAGTATTCTAGAGGGGTTCATGAACACAGATAAAAAAGCAATATGGAATTATTAAGGACAAGTTTTACTTATATATTTCTCTGTCTTACAAAACTCTCACCCCTCCATTTTTCACTCCTATTAAAATCCATCCATATTTTGAAACACCTCAAATTATCTTTCCCACAGTTGTTTATTCTTGTAAAACTTGAAGTATCTGTTCTTTCAAGTTGGATAATGTTCATGAAAGTGTTTTTGTAAACTGTGAAATGTCATAAAAATTCAGATTCATTGTTTATTGAGCACCTACTCTGAGCTTCACGGTACCATGTGCTCCATCACACATGCTTTGTGTAGCTCCTCTAGACTGAAGTTCCCAAGAGCAGGGATGTTCTCTATTCATCTTCATATTCCTAGCCCATAGCAGCCATTTAGTAATATCTTTGTTAAAAACTGTCTTAGGAACTTTTGCAATTTTATCTCATTACATCACAGCATCTCTGTACCGTAGATATGCCTATAATCAATAAATGCCTTTAATCAACAAATATTTATTGACATTAGCAGTATGTAAATCACTATGCTAGTGCTGAAGACACAGCAGTGAATAAAACAATCCCTGTCCTCTTATTTTTAGATAAGGAAGCTGAGGTACACAGTAGTTGTGACTTTCTTAGAATCCTACTGCTAATAAGTTGCAAGCCCAAAGTGTAAATCTAGGTGTTCCTTGTCCCAAGGCAGAAGCACAAGAAATGATCATTTTATTATCTTATTATACAGATGATCCCTGACTTACGATGGTTCGAGTTAAGATTTTTCTACCTTACGATGGTGGGAAAGTGATGTACATTCAATAGAAACTGACTAGGCTAAACTTTGATGGTAGGTTAAGTGCATTTCCAATTTATAATATCTTCGACTTATTTATGGGCTTATCAGGATGTAACCTCATCTTAAGTTGAGAAGCATCTGTATTTTATTATTGATTTATATATTATTCATATGATTTTACTATTATATATTATATGATTGATGTATATTTATGTATCATATATTTTTCAACTCTAATTCAATAGTAGATGCCTAAGATTCTACATGATCCACCTACAGGCATAACTCGGAGATATTTAGGTTAAGTTCCACACCACCATCATAAAGTGAATATCACAATAAAGTGAGTCATAATCTTTTTGTTGGTAGAAGGTCTTGTCTTCAGTTTGTAAAAAACACAACACTTGTAAAGTACAACAAAGTGAAACACAATAAAATGAGGTATGCCTATAATTTAGGGATAAGGTCAGAAATTATTATCTAAATTTTTAAAAAGGAGCACAAAATTAAACCTAAGTGCATTTCACCCCAAGAAATCACTCATTCTACCCCCCAGGATTTGTTAATATGGCTGATGATATTGGTGAGTTTCCTAAGGTTAAATTAATTATATAACATATAAATAAATTACTATTTTTGTATTAATTGATCTTCCTGCCTGCAGTCTTATCTCACTCTAAGGCAATCTCCATGCTGCCTGTAGGCTGAGTCTATTAAAATACTGATATGATCATGTTCCTTTCTTCATGAAAATACCCAAATGACGTTCCATCATCATTACATGATATTCCATTACTATTGGAATGACAATGGAATAGAATTCTATCATCATTTATTAATAGAATAAAACAAATTGCTCAGTTGGACACACAATACACCTTCAGCTCTTTTCACTGCCCACGCAACATCTATCCTGCCTCATGCCAGCATTGGTTCTGCCTCATGCCTTTCTTCTCTGCAGATTTTGTACTCCACTGCCTGCACCTGGCTAACACACGGCCAGCCTCCAGAATTCAGTTCAGTCCTTTGCAGGAACGATTCTCTGACAAATGCAACTTTTATGAACCTTCCACACTATAAATCCCTCTATTTAGTTTACAATTAAATGTCATATGCAAATAAGAACTTGAATCAAGTGGCTTGCTAGGTTTCAAGTCCCATTTATTTAATATTACTTTTCAGGTACTTTTTTAAACTTATTAACATATCCCTCAAATGTTAATAGTTGATTGTCTATTTTGTGATATTAGCCTCTCCTGGTTAACAGTTCACTTGGGGGTGCAAATGCTGGTGTTCTAATTGTCATTCTTTCTTCCTTGATTACCTAGGCAGGTTTACCCTCATCTTCTCTTCCAATATCCTGAAGAGCCTGTATAGAAAAGGCAAGATAAATACTTATTTCCCTTTATTTATCTGTCATACAGGTTTATTCGTGCTTTGTATTTATTCAAAAGCTGGTTTAAAAAGTTACAATTTTCTAGAAAATGGTATATTTCACCTAAATTTTCTAAATCTATTGGCATAAAAGTATTCCTAGTATTTATTTTTTAAAAAATCTCTAATATTTCTATAACTATATTGCTTTTTATTTTTCTTATATTCTTTCTCGATCTTCTTTCTTTTTCTTTGAGTAATCTTGCCAAAAATTTATTTTATTAGTCGTTTTCAACTTTGGGCATTAATCTGTACTGTATCTTTGCTTTCTAATTTTATTTTCTTATCTTTATAATTTCCTTAATTCTAAGTTCTTTGGATTTACTTTTTCTAACTTCTTGATCTAGATAGTTAGCTCATTAATTTTTAATTTTGTTTCTTAAAAAAAAATTAAATTTCTCTAAGTATTTAAATTCTTTCTAAGTAGTATGTTTGACTGTTTCCAGAGTTTGAAATGCAATATTTTCTTTATTGTTCAGTTTAAATATTTGCAAATTTCCACTCTGTCCTTTGATTGTGAGCCATTTGGAAGTGCATTTTGATTAAGGTTTCAAGACTTTCTTCAACATATGAAATTACTTACTAACAAAAGAATAAATATAATAACAGCCATCATTTATGGGGTGCTTACTCCGTGCTAAGCACTCTTCTAAGTGCTTTACATGTTTTGACTTACTTAATGGTGGGTATCAGTGTCATTATCATTTTACTGATGAATAAACTGAGGGACAGTTTATGTTTAAATAAAATAAAGTTTGGAGTGTTATCAAAAGAAATTATACTAGGTGGCTTTCAGTATAGTAGTTTTTATAATATACAAACACAGCAGATACAATATATATTATGTATTATATTCTACAAAAAATGGATTTATTCACCTTTAAAGTTGACGGGAAATATAAAATGAAATCTACATGTTTCCATTTCTTTGCATCTAAAAGAAATGCTGTTGGTGTGTGTGTGTGTGTGTGTGTGTGTGTGTGTATGAGAGAGAGAGAGAGAGAGAATTTGACTCAATATCAAAATGGATTTCTTCCAGTTCTGTTTTTCATCTTGTTTGTACCATTTTTACAATATGATTCTGTTCAAGACATTAGATGTGTATTAATTTGTCCTTGGAATTATTAATATGCAGGCCAAACTAAAGCTTAAAAATAAAGAAATTTTAGTTAACAACTTCAT